ACCTCGTCTGCAACACCACATCCATTCTGGAGTCATGCAGGGAAGTTATGATCACGGGTACAGAGGTCACGTCTCAGAAGCAGCGGCTGGAAGTTTGTGCTCACCGGTGCAGGCTGGGGGTGACGGGCTGGGCAGAGCTCTGCAGAAAAGGACCTGGGGGGACAGGGGACAAGAAGCTGGACAGGAGCCAGCAGTGTGCCCTCAGTGCCGAGAAGGCTACTGGCATCCTGGGCTGCAACTGTAGGAGCCCGGGCAGCAGATGGAGGGCAGTGATTCTTCCCCTCTTCAGCACTGGGGAGGCCACATCTGGAGTCCTGTGTCCAGCTGTGGGCCCCCACTACAGAAAGGATGTGAACACATTGGAGAGTCCAGTGGAGGGGAATGAAAATGGTTGTGGGGCTGGGGGACAGGACTGGTGAGGAGAGGCTGAGGGAAATGGGCTGATTGAGTCTGCAGAAGAGAAGACCGAGGGGGATTGAACAGCAGCCTTCACCTCCCTGCAGGGGGGCTGCAAAGAGGATGGAGCTGGGCTGGTCTCAGTGGGGGCAGATGGCAGGACAAGGAGCAATGGGCTCAAGCTGCAGCAAGGGAAGTTGAGGTTGGAGATTAGGAAGAATTTTCTCCCGAGGAGAGCGGTGAGGTGCTAGGACAGGCTCCCCAGAGAGGTGGTGGCGTCTCCATCTCTGGAGGTGTCGAGGACCCGGCTCCGGGATGATGCCGGTGGGGCTGGCCCTGCTCCGAGCAGGGGCTGGACTAGCTGCGACCTCCTGAGCTCCGTCCACCTCGTCGTCCCTGATCCGGCGCCTTGTTCAGTCTGGTGGGCAGGCCGCGTGGGGACACGTGCGAGCGCAGGCAAGCACCCAGCCGGGAGACGGGCTCGAGCAGAGAGAGGCGTTGAGGCGTAAGCACGAGCGGGCACGAAGCAGCGCCGCAAACCGAGGAGTCATCTTCCCCGCAGCAGGCGCGGGTGCTGTGGAGAGGAGCGCGGGCGGGCGGGCGCGTCGGGGAAAGGAGCAAAGCATGGCGACCCTGCTCTGCACCGGCGCGCCGCCTGCGGCCCCTCCAGCCCGTCCCTTCCCTTCCCTTCCCACGGGCGTCTGTCACCCGCGCTTGCGGGCACGCGCCGTCCCCCTCTTCCTGCCCCACACCCAGCTGTGCGGGGCAATGGCCCGCTCCCACCCGCCACTCAGCGGACGCAGGCGGCACACCAGTGCCCTGGCCCACACGCTGCGAGGTTCGACAAGATAGGATTTTCCTGGGGGGAGATTTCACAATATAAGATTTAAGAGCACAGCATGTAGGCTGCGGAAGATTCCCAGAACGCCTCCCTGACACCTGCAAGATAACAAGAAGTTCAGAAAAAGGTCTCATTATAATGCTAAAAATCACCCCCCTGGGCAGAGCAAAGTTTGTTAATGAAACATACATGTATGTAAATGACGGATGGCATCCATGCCTGCCTCACATATCTACAGGAACAAGATCACAACCCAGAATACAGACCCAAAGATATCACTGACCTTATACACTTCATCCTCACACACAACAATTTCACTTTTAATAATCAACACTTCCTCCAGATGATGGGAACAGCTATGGGCACTAAAATGGCCCCACAGTATGCCAACCTTTTTATGAGCCACCTGGAAAAAGACTTCCTCAAGAACTGCACCATCAAACCCTTGCTGTACTTACGATATATCGATGACATCTTCATCATTTGGAGTGAGAACCTGGAGTCTCTGATTGAGTTCCACTAGAAATTCAACAGTCACCATCCCTCCATCTGACTTTCTTTAGAATACTCCAGCACCAACATCCCCTTTTTAGACACAAGGATCAGTATCCAGAAGGGTAAAACACAGACCACAGTATACAAGAAACCCACAGACCAACATACAGATCTGCACAGAACCAGCAATCACCCAAAACACACCAAAAAAGCTGTGATATACAGCCAAGCCCTCAGATACCACCGCATCTGTACTGAAGAGAACACCCGGGATTGCCACCTCACCAATCTTAAAAAGGCTTTCACCCAGCAAGGACACTCCTCCAGAGAAGTAGATCGCACGTTTGAAAGAGCCACCTGGATACCACGTGAAGAACTGCTGCAGTACAGAAGAAAAACACCCACAAATCGCACACCGCTGGTTATGACCTATCACCCATCCCTTGAACCTGTACGGAAAATCCTCAAAAAATTGCAACCCATATTAGAAAAAGACCCTATTCTTAAAAAGATCTTCCCAGAGCCACCCATCCTAGCCTTCAGACAAGCACCGAACCTCGCCAACCTCATCACCAGAAGCAAACTTCCTCAACCCCAGAACACACCAAAAGGATCCAGACCGTGCCATGACAAGAAATGCAAAACCTGCCCCCACATCTCCACCACCCCCACTATTACTACACCCCACAACAGAGCCATCAGCATCCCAGGATCTTACAGCTGCACCTCCAGGAATGTAGTATACCTCATCCAATGCACCAAATGCCCTGATGGAAGATATGTAGGAGAGACCAGACAACAACTGCGCACCAGAATGAATGCACACCGGAAATCCATCAAAGACAGAAAGTTCCCAGAGACAAGCCTCTAAACTCCACTTCATCAGCCTCCTGGATACTGAAAACCATGGACTAAATATAGACATTGGATTTATGACACATTATACCTGCCTGACATCTGACTCCCCAGGTATCTCTCCACTTTCATCCCCCTTCTCTCTCTCCCCCTCCCGGTCTCTCACCCATTGACTCCTCAGTCTACATTTTCACTGACTCCCTGTCTTGTGTGCAGCCCAGCCCCGCCCAGCCCCTGGCTTCTTTACTTTTCATTCCATCCAGGAAGAGCACACACCAACTGCTGCAGCTTCCTGAGCCTGACGAAGGGTTTTTGAACCCGAAAGCTTGCTTAATAACTATTCTCCAACCATTTGGGTTGGTCTAATAAAAGATATCAGATTCACCCAAGGAAACTTGTCTGCCTGTATGTAAGTGAGACACACGGCTAAAACACAGGTATAGAGACACGCTCAGCAGAGAACATCTTATGTCAGTTGCTCGTAACCAACCACCAAACGAGACCCTGCAAACATCTGTATGAAAGGTACCCAAAGACCCTAACCTGTGTGCTTGTCACCTGAACTGTCCGCTTGCACCATTTACTGCTGCCAACGAAAAACTTCCTCTGTACTTCCACCCCGGTATACTTATTGGCGCTTGCATCCCGGGCACGATCCCAGACTTGAGCTGGGGCACAACCCCACTAGTGACTCCCCGCACAGCCACGCAGCTCCGCCGCCTTCCTACGGACGGCAAAATCAGCATCCGCACGAACCCGCACGGCCGCCTCGCGGGGTCCCCGCCACTCCCCACCGACAGCCTCCCGCCCCGCGCGCACAAACGCTGCCGTCTCCCGCGCCTCCCGACCTTGTCCGCTGCGCCCCGCCCCCCGCCGCCATCATCATCATCATCATCTCGCCGCCTCACCTTGCCTCGCCGCCGCACAAGGCCTGAGCGCGCCACAGCCCGCCACGTGCGGCCGCGCCACCAATCCCCGCGCGCCCTCGGGACAGCCCGCTTGCTATTGGCCAACGCCGCTTGCGCGGGACGGGACGGGACGGGGCGGGGCGGCAGCGCCTCGCCCGGGGCGGTTGGTGACGTCAGCGGGGGGGCCTCGCGCCTCATTCGTGCCCTCGCAGGCACGCGCCGTGTCCCTGCCCTCGTGCCCTTGCACTCCTACCCACCGCCCCTCACCAGTGCCCTCACACCCACGCCCCCAGTGCCCTTGCACTCCCACCCACCGCCCCTCACCAGTGCCCTCACACCCACGCCCCCTGTGCCCTGCACTCGTGCCCTTGCACTCCTACCCACAGCCCCTCACCAGTGCCCTCACACCCACGCCCCCTGTGCCCTGCACTCGTGCCCTCACACTCACATCCCACCCGTCGCACCCACACACACACCATGGCCCTCGCACGCGGTGCTCCTCGGCCCAGCCCGGCCCCTCCATGCCAGGCTGCCCCCAGCCGGGGGTGCCCGCAGTGGCGGGCTGTCCTCCACCCTCCTGCGCGCGGCTGCGCCGGCCCTCCCGCCCTGCAGCTCTCGTTAGCGCCGTGTAGCTGCTCTTCCTTAACGAGCTGCTCGGTGCCCTGCTCCCTCGTGGCTTTCCTCGGCCGACGTTAGGGCTTTCCTCGGGGCGCAGCTACACGGGCAAATTGCAGCCGGAGAGAAGCCAGCCATAAAGTTATTGCACATTTTCCAGCTCTAATATCATAGCTGGATGGGCCTTTTTATGGCCTGCTAGTTACTGTGCAGGTGTCGCTGCACAATTCACCAGTTCAGTGTGTCCAGACGTGTAATGGGTAAAAAGGGTCTCAGTAATGAGTTGGGGCCCGTGTTACACCTTCACACCCATGTCCTCGCACTCATACCATCTCCCCGGGGTCACGCATCGTGCCGCTCACCCCCCAGTCCCTCTCCTCAACTCCTCCGTCCCCCAGTCACGGTCTCTCCCCACCACCTCGTCGCACCCAGGGGTGGGTCCAGGATGGGGCAGAGCGGGGTGCAGGGGCTGCACCCCCACTCCCAGCCCCTCTCCCGGCTCCCCCCACCCATGGGTGCAGGCAGACCAGGCAGGGGGAGCTGCTGGGAACTTTTCCAGAGCCCAAAGCTGGTCGCAATCTCCTCCTGCCCCTCCGCGGTCAGATCAGCCATTGGACTTCGACCGACCTCCACCTCCCGGAGACGGGAGCGCAATGCTGAGGCCAGGGGTGAAAGCACAGCCTTTCATCCCCGCCGCAGCTCTGCCGGCTTCACAGGAGTCGCGCTGAAGACGAAGATCTTCCCAGACCTAGAAGATCAATGGAAACCCCAGCCTCTCACACAGCCCCTTTCTGGTCAGCCCCCCTAGCCTGACCAAACGTACCCTGCCGTGAGCCGCCCATAGCAGCGTACAAATGGGAACACAGATAAACTCCACGGAGACATTTTGCAGACAGGAAGGAGGCCTGTTACAGAGCTACAACCAATCAGTAGCTATTCATCACGTCCCAAGAAGTGGCTGGACGACCGCCACCGCTCTGCATTCAGTGGCCTCTGCAGAGCATCTCGCCTGGATCATAAGCGTGCACGGGAAGTCAGGCTGCAGCGCAGCCCCGGGGTCGCCGCGGCTCAGGGGTAGCTGTCTGCGAGGGAGGACTTGGGGATGAAGTACTTCTGCACTCTCTGGTGCACGGCGATGGATGTCTCTTGCGAAGCCGGAGCATCCGAGTCGTACGGGAACGGGCTTAGGGTGATTTTTGGCAGGGGCAGTCTAATAGCGTGTACAAAACCCTTCAACAAAGGCCGTGGGATGATGCGCGGGAGGTAAAACCCTGCGTATGGAGGAGACAGACAAGAACACGTTAACAAAAAGGCCTACAGGAGAGCATGGGCAGACCTAGCGTTTTGAAAAGGGGGGTGCAGATGGTGTGGTGCGTCGTGGCATATCACACCTGACGTATTTTCCTCCCAGTAAGAAGGAACTAGAAGCTTCACTAATATGCCAGGGGCCTGGAGCTGAATTAATCAGTTTAAGATGAAAGGAAAAACAACTGCAGCTCTATTGAACAGCACACTGATTTGCTGTAGGATACATTTTGTACTCAAAACAGAACAATACAGGCAAAACTAATATTTAAAATGTTTCTTTAGTCCTGTCATCACTGGACTTAAATGTCTACCTCTGAGATGCCCAACCCAAAACTAAGCCTCCTTGAGCATCTTGCCAGTGCATCCAGTGCCTCCCTGGAAGTTACTTCCACACCGAGTCAGCGCTCCTCTGAGCTAATGTTTGCACACCGGAGGTAATGGTTTTAGGGAGGGTTGAAAACAGTCGGCAGGGCTGCGAAGCAGGAGCCACACTACCAGGAGGAACTAAGAGGCAGCAGAATTGCAGAGGAAAGGCTAGCTCCATTAGTGGAAGTGAAGAGGGGAGAGGGTCGTTAACACCTGTGGAGTGAAGAGCTTAGGAGGAAACAAGAGATGGCAATGAGCCATGAAGTCAAGGGACTCCCTCACTGCTGCTGAAGGGAAACGCAGCTGCCACTGCCAGGCGGCTGGTTTTAAGCGGCACCCCCAGCTCTGCCCCTGCGGGATGGTGTCGTGGCCTCTCCCTCTTCTCATCCCATCTGTGGCCAAGGTACCTGGCTTGGAGCGTGTCCCCCACATGCTGCATGCAGCTGCACGCGTGCCGTGTGCCTGTCTGCCAGATGTGCGTGTTCTGGGGAGGGCCTTACAGTCCACATCACGGTAGCACCCAAGCGTGCAGAATGCGGCCGCGCAGGACGCGTGCACAACAGACGTCCCCTGACAACCGCTTGAGCTGCCCACGGATGTGCGTTGGCACAGTCCACTGACCCCAGCACGCTGCCTGGAGCCATCCGCTTGCTACAGCTGTGCACTCAACAGCGCACTGCCCAACATGGCCGTGTGCCTGGCGGTGACACTTCAAAGCGATAAAGCCCTCGTCCCCCCGAGGGGAACGTGGGAAGCAGACGGGAAGTGTGGCACAGGTCCGTGACAGCACCATCCAGCCTGTGGCGGGCTGGCCTTTTTCCTGCCACGCCACAGTAGCTTTCAGGACACGGTTTTATTCTTCAGCATAAAACCTTGGCAAAGTATCTAAACAAGACAGTTTCTCTGTCCCCCGTGGACTGTTTTCCCTGGCTTCTTGCAGCCTGAAGGGAGAATCCACTCTTCATGAAACCACTATAGCGTTGGTGCTTTGTCCTTCATTCTGGCAAACCAACCTACAGCGGGACAACCCGGACCTTGGAAATGACCTTCTGATGACAGCTCTCCTCACTTACAAAGGCACGACCAGCTGGGAGCAAAGCACTTCACTCCTTCCTTTTTCCAGGATCAAATCAGCTTCGTACAGCCGAAAGGAATGGGAGGCTCTCTGCCTCTCTGCGAGAGCTATAACACTCACGTCTGATGGCCTGGCACAGAGGAACGGAGCAGGCTGTTTGCCACCGGCTCCCCCGACTCGGCCCCTCTGGGCTGAAGGGTGAGAAGAAACCCCGGCAGCCGTAACCAGCTGGCAGGAGGAGAAGCTGAAGGGAAAGCCTTGTTTGCTGCTCGCGGCCTGCCATCCCAGCTGGCACGAGGGGGTGGGGGACAGCGGGGCGGACACATGCCAGCTGCTCAGCGCGGGCACAAGTCCAGATCTGCATTAATCATTGGTGCACGGCTCATTTAGGAACCGAACCAAACCAACAATTAACTCGGAGGCGCCCGGCTGCGACCGTGGGACGTGTGTTGGGTCGATCGTGTTGCTGTTGCCCTGGTCTCCCCTCTGTGTCACCCGCTTGTGCAAACCGCAGTGCGAGCTCCCTGGGGCGGGAGCCGAGTTTTCTGCACGGCAGCCAGCACATGCGGGCCTGATCCTAACTGGGGCTCTGATGATGAACACAGAACCAGAGATGCTTCCTGTTATAATTCAACCCAGGGTCGAGGAGGTAGAGAGAGGGCAAGAGACAAGAGGAAGGGAAACCTCCCCAGGAAACAGGACTGACCATGGAAGTCCCTCTCCTGGAGACTGGGGGGGGAGGGATGGCAGCTGGGTCCACTACTTACGCCGCGGCGACCTCCTCCGAGCCAGAGTGTTGGTTTCTCCCAGCCGCAGGATGGCCTGGCTCCTGCCACAGAAAGAGCAGTTATTCTGTATGTCCCACGGCGCCGATGACCCACTTCTTTACCCGTGGGAGCTACTACATGGGTCTGATGGGAAACCCTGGAGTGCCAATGCAAGGTCCTCCCCATAAAGCTTCCACAAGTGATCGGTCACTGACATCGTATCGGACAGCATGCCGTGTTGTAAGCACACGCGTGACCAAAGTGGCCCGTAAAACCCTGTGGGGCAGCCATATGGCTGACTTGGGGACTGCAGTGTCCAGAGGTCCCCGCACGTAGTGCTCCATCTGGCCCTTAGAGAAGGAGGCAGCGCTTCTGGGTCACCGCTCCTATGTGAAAGATCAGGGTGGCACGTTGGACACGGCCCTTACTGACAAGTGAAGGGGTTGGTGGACGGAAGCACGGCCCACAGCGAAGGAGCAGAAGAAAAGCTGCCTGGGCACATAGGACCTGCCATCCTGGACCTGACCTGAGGTCCCCGGGACAGCTCGGTGCCCTTTCTCCGATACCCACCAGGACCAGGTCCCTTGTCTGTACTCTGCAGCCCCTTGGATGGTGATCCCAATGCTATGGATGTCACAGTGACTCCATGGCTGCCCCTTCCCGAATTAGCTCCTCACACCCGAGCGCAAATCAGCCTCTCCTCTGGGCGCCCAACAAGGAGCCGTTCCACAGGGCAGCTCTTTAGAGGGTGGAGAAACCGCCCGTCCGAACTGGGTACCGCTGTGCCATGTGACCAGGTGCCGCGAGTAGGTCGCTTCCCCCATCACGCGCCTGGCTGGGAGCTGACGGGAGGGAAGGACAGAGCTATGAATCCACGTCTCCAAGAACTTACTTCCCCAGGGAGGGCAGGGCCACCACGGCGTTCGTGACATCCTGCATCCCGGCAGGCTTCAGCCCCTCTAAGCTCCTGCGCAGCTGCATCCGACAGAAATGGTTTACGGCGTCGATGGGCTGCGCCAATGCCGCCAGGCTGCTAGCAGACGGCAGAGCCTTGCACCACGCGGTCGCCTTCTTATCCTGAAACAGGAGTCACAGGAAGGAGCAAGCTCGGGGAGGGCAGCGGCTCTGAGCCTGGCGCCCACTGGCGCGATGGTGTAAAAACATTCTCCGAAAACACCAGCTCCGCGCTCAGCAGCCGTCAAACCAGCAAACGCGTCAGGGAGGATGAAGGAGGGGATTGGGAACAAGGCTGAGAGTATTGTGATGCCCCTTTATAAACCCACGGGGCATCCACATTGTGAATCCTGCACCCAGCTCTGGTCCCTTCGTCTCCAAAAGGAGATAGGAGACCTGGGGAAGGTGCAGGGAAGGGCAGCAAGGACAAGGAGCGGCATGAAGGGGCTTCCCTAGGAGGAGACTAACGAGGCCAGGCCTGGGCACTCCGGAGAAGAGGCGCTGGAGGGGGCAGGAGAAGGGTCCACAACACACGCAATGGAGAAGAGAAAGTCCCTGGGATTTATTACTGACTGTCCGTCACCAGACAGGGACGAGGGTCACACGTGGACCGAGCAGGCGGCAGTTTAACACGAACACCAGGGAGGTCTTTCCCCCCAATATGGCACTAAAGGGAGGCTCGTGGCCCCAGGAGTGGTGGGAGCCGAGAGCTCAGCCACATGCACCAGGGCTTGGACACGTGCGTGGAGGAAAGGGGCATTGGGGGCTCTGGGGCAGGGAGCGAGGGGCACGGCCTCCGCACCAGCCCTGCCTGGATCTCAGTGCTGGAGTTGCAGGGAGGGAGGAACGGGGGAAAGCCCTGCTCAGCTCCAGTCCCTCTCCCTCCAGCTCCGCTCTCTGGGCAAAGCGGACCTGGTGTCTGACCCCGGACGTGGCTGTGCTGACGCTCTTATGCTTCAGAAGACCCGAGCGTGGGAGGCCACGGGCACGTGGGGTGCAGCACATCCCAATACGAAGGGCAGTGTTGGTCATACTGCAGGAAGAGACCCCTACGCGGCGACAGGAAAATCCAGGAGGCAGAAGCCACCATACGAATGTGCAGCACCATCCCCGCGGCGTCTGCCCGGCAGAGCCCTTCCACACAGGCTGCCAGGGTCGCCGGCTCCGGGCCGGCTTTGCTGGGCTGCTTGGAGCACAGGTACAGTGAGGGCTTGGTCTGTGCCTTCCCCCATCTGTGCCCAGCTGCATGCACTGCTGGTGCCCCTCTGATACCAGGGGCTCAAGCCACAAGCACGTCGGGAAGGAAGGGAGCAGCTGGGCCACCACGAGGACCTGCCCGGCGGCTGGGCGGCAGAGACTTCTCCGGGGCTGGGGCTCTCACCTTTGGGCTGCTGCCAAGGACGTGCTTTCTTCCTGGCAGAGCCTCCTCCAGATCCAAACCGCTCCTCTGGTGATCCTGGGCAGACAGAAATAACCCGTCAAGACCCAACGGCCCCATCCCCACTCCGGACCCCGGGCAGGATGGCACGGGATGGCTCCTGCTCAGCACGGACCAGCTGCCCCGGCCCCGAGGCTGCCCCAGGACCCTTCCCCAGGATGAACCAGCCTGATCGCAGCAGCTGCAGGCAAACAGCAGGAGAGGAAGTGCAGGCGCTGGCCAGGCCAGGCCTTCATCAGGAAGGAGACAGCTGAGAGCCTGGAGCGGGAGCTCGCCAGCCTCTTGCGCCTCCCCACGCCGCTGGGAATTGCGGCGACCCTGTGCAGGGCACCGCGGCGTGCTAGGGGCTGCAGCACGGGGAAGATGCCTCCCTGCTCTGAGAGCTCATGGGCAAGGCATAGGCAGGAGGTGGGGGGCATTCAGGCAGCCAGATTCAGCTCAGCGGGGCAGTTTGTGCTCCATTTGACACCCCAGAGCGTCGCTGCTAGGCAGTGCCATTGGTGTGGGTGAGAGGGCCGGCTAGGACCCCCTGTTACACCCCCAGACCAGCTCCCTCATCTTCAGCTCAGCTAGTCCCTTCCCTGCATCGGGGCCCAGCCCGCTCCATGCACGCTGCAGCCCCTCGCCCTGCTGACACCCCCAGGCTCTCCATCTATCTGCAGAGCCACTTCCCTCCTGGGGTCTGGGCCACTGCTGCAGGAGACTGGTGGAGCCCCTCACTGCTCTCTTGCCAGGGCTACTTGGTCCTCCGCCAGGGATAGGAAACCCGACCCTGCCCGCGCCCAGCGTCCAGCGGGGCGGGGGGCACCTGCGATCAGGAAGAAGCGCCGCACCTGGAAGCTCTGCATCACGCCTTCCAGCCACTGCGCGCACCGCCGCCGCAGCACCGCCTTGCTGACCTCCTTCTCCGCGGAGAAGTCCCAGGAGTCCATCTCCACGTAGAAGTAGCTGCGCGGATCCTGCAGGCCCAGCTCCAGGAAGAGGTCCTTCACGGGGCCCCTGGGAGCAGAGCAGGGGGAGGCGAGGGGCTGAGGAATCAGGAGAACCGGGTGCTGACCCCCCGCATGGCTGGTCCCCAGCTGGCAGGGACAGTCGGGGCTTTCAGACATCGTCCTCCTCCCCACTGCATGCAGGAGGCTGGAGCTGCGTGTCCTGGTGCCCTGCACGGCCAAGGGGAAGGGGAAGGGGAAGGGTCTTTCCTCCATCAGGCTGCTGCAGGCTGTGGTCGCTGAGAGCCCAGGCTTCTCCGTGTCTGTCCTGCTCTGGGCAAGACCCCCTCACCACCCAGCCCCGAAATCTACCCCTTCTCCCTGCTCCAAGCAGCCGCAGCAAACTGTGCATGGGGCTATGCTGAATCCCCGCTCCTTTCCTGCCCCCCGTTCTGCCCTGGAAAGCACCCACTGATGGAGGCATGAGGATGGCTGAGCCCCAGGCCAGAGATCAGAGCCCCCCGGTCCCCGCGGTTATGGCTCGAAGGGCGCAGGGACAGCCACGCCATGGGCAGCAGCCAGGACAGGGCTACTTCCCAGCTTCGGCCGTTGTGACTTCCCCTGCAAAGCTCAGGACCCTGCCAGCGACTAGGGGCTAGCCAGGCCAATGTCCCTCATGCCTATCCTGTGACCACAGCACCACTTACGCCAGCTCAGGAGGGGCCAAACCCGTCACCCAGTGCTCCTCATGCCCACGCCTGGCAGCCAAAGCCCAAAGCTCCCTCCGGCCTCAGGGAAAAGACTTCCCTGGACACCTCCGTGGCTCCGTGCCCCAGCCCATCCACCCCGCCGGTCACCCCACGTGCCCCGCACTTGCCTGCGGGTGATGGGCATCTGCAGGAAGCAGGCCATGAGCTCCACCAGCAGCTCCTTGCTGTCTCTGCAGAAGGCCAGGAGGGCACGCAGGGCAGCCAGCACAAACTTCCTTTGAGTCTGTGCCACGGGATGGAGAGAAGGCAGGCCAAGCGTGAGCCGGCCCCGATCCTGGGAGAGCGGGCAAGACCCCCGGCACGGCGCGGCGCAGCGCAGTGCAGCACAGCGTAGCACGGCGCAGCACGGTGTGGCAGAGCGGTCGGGGCTCACCTGCAGCGTGGGTGGGTCGCTTGGGTTCAGCGCGGCAAGCAGGGCAGCGTGGACCTCGCTGCCGTCCTCTGCACCCAGCTGCTCGCGCAGCGCCAGGACGGCGCTGACTATATCCGTCTTGGCAGCATACCCGGCAGCAGGCAGCACCTCCAGCAGCTTCCTCACCACCTCGCTCACGCTCAGGTCCGGCGGGAAGCCCTGGCAAGGAGGAAGGGAGCGTTTCAAGGAGCCTCTCTGCCTGTGACTTTCACCAAGCAAGCCTGGGGGTGCCCAGGTTGCGGGGGTGTGGAGGCATGCCCATGAAGCCAGGCCACGACCACCTCGTCACCTGCCACGGCTGTGCAAAGCAGCACTGCTGGCCCCGGTGACCACAGTCCAGTGCGGGATGGCAGCAAAATCACGCCTCGCACGAGGACTTGGCCCTGCCCAGCCTCACGGCACTGGGCAGCCATGAATGGGGCCACCTGCAGCCCCTCCCATGCGGCAGCCCGGGGGGCTTCAACCCGCCTGCCAGAGGGGCAGAAGCGGGGCAGGGGCTTGCTGCAGCAGGCTCCCCATGGCGTGGGTCTCACCATGGAGCGGAGGTGGTGGTAAACCTGCTCGAACCACTCCGCGTCCTGGAACGGCAGCAGGAAGGGCGGCACGGCACCGTCCTCGGGGAACGCCGGCTCCTCCAGCTCCGTCAGGAAAACACTTGGCCCGGGCTGCAGCGGAAGGGGACAGGAGGAGCAGCCGGGGCTGGAGCAGCAGGCGGCACTGCCGGGTGCTTGCAAGCCTTCCCCGTGCCCCCCAGCACCGACCCTGCTTGCCTGCCTGCCTGTCTGTGTCCCCGGCGGCCCTGCCATGCCAGCCCTGGCCCCTGCGCATGGCTCTGCCCTGCCCTGCCCTGCCCTCCGGGCAGCATCGGGGCCGCGGGCACGAGGACCGATGGGCGAGACGGAGCCGAGCGGATCGCCGAGGTGCGAGTGGCTCGGTGGGGGACGCCAGCCCCGTCCTCCGCCGCCCGAGCGGACACGACGAACAAGCTGGTCCTTTGCAAAGATCGAAGACCGCTGCCCCCCGGGCCAACCTGGCCCATCTGCCCCACGCGAGTAAGAAGGAGGAGACAAGCAAGCGCCAAAGGCTGCGATGAAGGACCTATCCGGCTGCCGGGATAAGCAAGGCTGGAGTGCTTCCCTACAAGAGCTGTGCTGCGAGCGCCCTTCCCAACAGCCCGGAAGACAGGCCACAAGGCTGGCCGTAAAAGCCAATGGATCCGGCCCGCTCGGG